TTTGCGGGAGGTGGAAGACTCTCATTTTGAGCTGGTTGCGGTCATGCTCGATGGACGAGTCTGAGGGTTTGACATGGTGGTTGGGATTGAAGGACGTTAGGGTGGGAACAGTAAATTCGCCGACCCTGGCAGTACAATAGAAGGCAGTTGTCAAGCAACTGTAAACTGATGAGTCAAGGGGGGAATTGATGTCGAGTTGACCATGAAGTGTGCAAATGAATTTGACTGTGAACGGGCGCCTCTCCTTGCATTTCGAGGATGGTGGGGCTAAGTTCTCAGCTGCTTTGAGGAGTGCATCAGTTTCCTCGTCATTGAGAGCCCAGCGCATACCGTGCAAAATGTGCCATGCTCACACACCGAAGATATAATTGGCTATTGTCTTTCCAGAGTATGAGCCTGCGACGAAGGCGATGAAGGTGGAGATGAGGGTTGAGTCTGCGGGTGCACGATCGTGTTTGGGAATCGAGCGTGAGTCACAGTAGACGTGAAAAACCAGCAGCCCGGAGCCATAGGACTCGCGGGTGCTTTCAGCCCATGCATGCAGCATGACCTCTTGTACCCTGGCCATGTCACTTGGAACGAGGGCACTGGGGGTGGGCCTTGGCATGAACGGTGTCCATAAACGAAGCCTGTCTTTTGCTGTGCAGTGAGGGTGAAGGATGGAGGGGATTGGGGTAAGGTCAGCAGGGTAAGCTAAACGTGGATGGAGAAAAATGTTTCGTCAGTGGTTGGGGGTTATAACTCGACAAGTTTGCGGTGGGGGAAATGTACTAAGCTTCTGCCGCTTTGTTAAGCTCTTCTCCTTCTCTCTCGAGCCAGTGGTTTGTGCTGATGCGCTCGATGCGACTTGGGGAGAGATGTCCTTTGGGGGGAGCGTGAATCGTGACAACATGGTTGCGCTCTGAGTACGGTTGGCAGGTCTCATTGGCCTGTAGAGGGGCGTCGAAGTCAACAATGAGGCTCCTGAGAGAGGGATGGATAGGAAGGGGGGGCAGAAGTAAGGAGCGAGGGGGGTATTTTCCACGGGAGGGTTCATCGGCTGGGTTGGATGTGCTGGGTACATAGCAGGGGAGGATGGTGCATGCGGCTGCTTCTGTGATGCTGTGGACACGCTTAAACACGCTGTTGGTTGCCCGGTTATGGCTACAGCCCTTCCACCATCCCTCAACGACTCCTCGGTTGTCTCCATAAACCTTAAAGCAAGGTATTGGGCTGGGTGCAGGTGCTCGGGTGATGGCAAGGACGAGGAATTCGAAGCCAATGGCTTCAGCCCATTCAATGTTGCAGCTGTCAGCTTTCCAGCCAGGAATGAGTTGCCAAGCTCGCCACCAGCCGTTAATCCAAATTGCGATTCCCACGCCTGAGCTAGCATCTGAGAAGGCGTTGGGGTCAAAGACTTCGCAGGGTCCTGGGATGGTTCTGCTGATGGAGGGTTGGCATAGAGTTGCGGACCACCATCTGAGGTCGGCAGTGCAATTATGAGGTGGGGTATGTGGCACGAGAGGGTGGTCACCAAATAGGGGGAGCATGGCTTCCAGTTCTGTGAGGTAGGCTCGTCCGGTGGGAACAACAAGAGAAGCATGTAAGAGCTTCCCAAAGAGTTTTTGGACTTTGATGAGGGGGTGGCGGGGGAGGGCTTCCCAGGAAGATATTGCCGCCAGGTACTTCTCCTTCTTGCTTGCCGAGATCTCGACGGTGCGTGTTTCGAGGTTCCACATGAAGCCTGTGAACGGGGGCTTTGAGCTGAGGGGAACATCTTTTGCAGGTTCCCAGGGGGTGCCTGTTTGCGTGGAGAAGAAGTCGATGTCATCCAGACAGCAGGAAAATTCTGCGTCTCATGGGGAACGTGGGGAACGATGGGAGAGATCGCGAATCGGGAACGAGCAGTCCTCATCAAACTCTTCAGAGCTGTCATCTGGGAGCTTGACCCCTTGGTACCATCTCCTGCCGCCATCAGTGCAAAGGCCGCCGGCATCCTGGATTCCACGAGCCCACACTCCTCTCTGCTGGTTGAACTTCTTGAGGTATTCAAGGCGTAGTCGGAAGAAGAGGTGGTCGTCAACCCACTTCAAAAGTGGGCCAACTCCCTCGCTGCGGAGCAGGTCTGCCCCTGCATCGGCCAGGCCTCCATACGTGCCGGCTGCAGAAGAGCAACCAAAACAGAAGCTAGTGTCAATAGTGAATTCATTATCGCCTGTGCGAACCACTGTACCTGGGTATTGGGAGGGATGCAGAGGTATTGTCCTGTAAGCTTCTGCCATGTCACATGTTGCGCCTTCTGATCCAGGAGGCAAGTGCCAAACCAATAAGCATATCATGGTGAAGGTTCCATATGTGCACGGGTAGAGATTCGAGTCAATAAACGAGTTGATGGATGGGATGGGGTGTGGTAGGGATCTTGCAATGTGCGACAAGTTTTGGATAAGCTGGAATTTTCCTGGCCTTCCTGGTTTCGGGATGAGAGAGAGGGGGGCTGTCTGGAAGGGACCGATGAGGGCCTCGACATCTGTAGCAGATAGTGGGCCCAGATAATGGCCAGCTTCAAACTCGCAGGAAAGAATTGTGGCAAACACATCAGCGTGCTTGGTGATGGAAGGGTGATTAGGGGGGGTATGGGTACTTGTAATGCTAGGAATACTGCCGTGAAAACCGTATTGTAATGAATGTGGGATGTGAGGGTATTTAAGTATGAGGCGCGACTTGGTGAGTGCGAGAAGCCAAGTGCTGGGATTATATGGGGTGAGAGCTCTGATTTTTCTGTCCTCGAGGACAGCCTTGAGCGCCGTGATCCGCACTCCCGCAGCCTGAACATGCGTGGATGTGCTCTTTGCTGGTGTTTGTGCAGCCGTTGGGGCGTTGCCAATCGTAGCAGAGCTGCAGGCCTTGGGTGTTGATGAGGCGACCCTCCGCATTTCGTCGGCAGAATGTGGGAGTCTTTCCATCCCACAGGAACTTGCTTTTGCATTTGTGGATGTTGTGGGGGAAGCGGCCGAGGCATAGAGCGCAGGCGAAGAGGCCAACTGATGTCACGCTGTTCTGAAAAAGCTGCTTGTCTTGGGTGAGCCACTTCTGGTCCTGACGGGGATGCTGGCGTGTGGATGGTGACGTGTGAGGGGGAGGATGCCCTTGTGTATTGCAGGTTGGGGATCGTGAGCGTGAGCGAGTCGCACAATTGCTCCCCTGCAGTTGGTTACGGTGAGAGGACGCTTGATCACGGCTGGATTGGCGATGGGTCTGCGAAGCGAGTTGGAACTGGGATGAGGGGGAGCAGTGGATGGTTAAGGGCCGTTGGTGGTACAGGAGTGGGAGCATGGCAGCAAGCGCCATTGGGGGCAGTGGCAGCGTTTTTGGAAGCGGGTGTGGAAGCGATAATGGAAGCGGGAGCAAAACATTGCGAGTGGAAGCGAAGTGAGTCAGGGTCAGCTATTGTGGTTCTGTTGGGTGGTAAAGGGGGGGGAGACTGACCTCCACAAGGGTTTCTTGGCAAACTTTGTTCCATACTTCTTCGCCCATGTTCTTCAAGAGGGTGAGGTTGAAGACGCTAATGTCGAAGGCATTGTCGAGGATGAGGGTGTCGTGCCAATCGCGATGGACGCGAGCTGCATATAAGAGAAGTGCTTGTTCTCCGTATGGTTCAGAGCGGGAGGGATGAGACACAATGTTCATGAAGAACATCGTGAGAGCTCGCTGATGCTTGTCTGGCCATTTGAGCTTGTTGATGTACAACAGGAAGCTGTTCTTGGCGAGGTCGAATTGGTGCCACTCAAGACTGTGGTCTTGGATGGCTTTGCAGGAGGCTTTGAAGGATGCAACTGGTTTGAGGGCGACAAAGTCTTCGACTTTGGTGAGGCCAAAGGTGTCGTCTGCACTGGTCTTGGCATCATCAGCTGTCTCTCTGCATCCATCTGGGCTGAAGTACCAGAGTTCAACGTACTTGAAGGACTTGAGTTTATGGATTGCATATTGGGAAGGGCGGGGGGTAAGGGTGTCGCCGACAGCCACCCCGATTTTGAAATCATTGATCTTTGGTTTCTTCTTCTCTGCTTTGCGAAGTTCTGCTTCGGCTTCTTGTTCCAGGCGCAAGCATTCCTGGTCTACTCATTCCCGCTCTGTTTGTGCTGCGTGAGCTGCAAGACGCTGGTCTTCATCAACTTGCCTTGTCCATGCAACAACTCTGAGGTCGCAATCTTGTTCCTATGCGGTGGCAAGCTCGTTGGTGACTTCTTCGTGTGTCATCTGAGTTCCTCCGATGATGCGATTTCTAAGACCCTTGAAGGTGGGTGAAGAAAAATCAGGCTGGATGTCTAGAACCGGGTCCGAAGCGATACGGGCCATATCGGATTAATGGGAATGGTTTGGGGTGATATTTATTAAGAGGTAGAAATAAGGAACACCAGTAGGTATGTTGGTGCTGATAAGGAACAGAAAATAGCTCGAATAGACTTAGATGTCTACGAGCGTGGTGGGGGAGCGGAAACGAGAGACGCTACCGGCGTCTTCCGCTCGCCCAAAGACAATACTCTAATCCTGCGCTCGTGCCTCGCTACGTAATAGAGTGGCAAAATTGCCTTGCATGACCTCGTGCGCTCCATCCTACCTCGGATGCTATATGGATCTTACTTGACTACATCCGTTCCACCACAATCATGCCACAAAGGCATTCCAATTAACAAAGTTCACGGAACATGTACCGTAGCTATGTGATAATATTCATTGTCCCTTTGATGTACTTAATGATAGCCTGTGGCTCAGGGATCTTGAAAGCACTATATATTGCGTGTTGGCAGTATTCTCTTCTTTCCAGTTCTTTCCGTCTTTCCATTTATTCGCACCTACTTTCTACTCTAAACTATCACGTCGAACAACATCCATACGCTCGATTCTCGAGCAGCCGTTATAGATCTGTCTGATCGTCTGAGCTCTCCAGACCATTTTCTTGCCGTTATCAATGACATTATGAAATTCAGTCACTTGGATGGCCGCGAACTACAGCACTACGGGCGAAAGGTCTTGTCTTTGTTATTAATCATCTCTTGTAGTCGACTGATGATTTCCGTACAGATAATCGCTGACAGGCGTAATTATGATTTCAATTCTTGTCAACTCTTTCAATAATTTTCTTGGTAATCTTGAAGGTCGCGTGCATGCCTCTGAGATATCAGAGAGTGAACTTGTCCCTGTTCACTCTTTGTTCTAAGAGGTTTCTGCCGTACAAGTCGGCGTATTTCAAATTGCTTGTTTGGATCAGACGGCGCAGGGCTGCTGACCTGAATGGTAAACATCGGTCGTTATTTTGTTTGATTTTCTTTTCACCATTTGCGTAGATCGAATTGACGTGCTCTTGTTTCCTATCGACTATAATGTTGTCGTATGATGCAAGGGAGTTGACCCTCGTGCCCAACTAGGCACTTCCTCTCTTTCAAAGGCCGTTTGTTCGCGAATTTAGAACAAGAGCCCGACGATTTGAGGTTGGCACCGGGAAGCAATCGTCATCAAGTTGATGTTCTTTTCAAGCCTTCTTGCCTGGACTGATGACTACCGCGTCGTACTTCAAATCACAACCCTCATCTGCATCTTGTTATTGCGAACACCGAATCTATCTACGTACTCCATGTTATATGAACAAAACGCCATCCCCTTTCGTTACATGGCTGTCCTTCAAAGTTTCATATCTGTAATTATACATCTATTGCCCATGTCACTATCGACAGGCCTTCGGCTGCCACACCACCTACCTTGAAGTCTGGAGTCCTTTGCCCCATCTCGCATAACATTTACATCTCCAGGCACATCCGCCACACTCTCACCCTTTCGTTGTCACACCTCTTTCTGTAACCCTTCAAACACACATGTCTTGCCGCATCCGCACAATGACGACAGCACTCTCGTCGAGACACTCTGAAAGGACGAGGGATATGGGTCCTCCTGATGGGTAGGGCTATGAGCGAAGACACACGGTGAGTGTCTCCTTCCTGCTTACAATCCAAAGCTGATTTTTACAAGACGCATGTTAAACGTGTGCTTCCGCAGTGTCAACCATCCATGACAGTCATCTTACCAATACCCACGCTCTGTAGAAAGGAAGCCGGACATCCTCTTTTCCCGTTCTCGACAACTCAGCGCAGTTCCTGCTGGATAGCACAGTCACTGGCAGAAGCTCGGGTTTGTGGCCAAAGCTCTTGTAGTGATCGAATGAATCTGAAATGCTTAGTCTCGGCGGAGAACCAGTGCATATACATTGATGACAGGCATAGATATATCACGCTTCGTGTTTCAAACCATCAAGCTTGAACATCTAAATTATATCACCCATATTAAGATATGTTTTCTGACGAAACCTACATACGAATTGATCCTTTCCTCTTACATACACAATCACTTTCCTTGCACACGTCGTACATGTTCCCCTTTGATTCTCCGTCTCAATCAGCGTATTAATTCTTCTTCTCGTCGAATGACCTCCCTCAGTCTTTGATCCAAGACTGAGGTGAGCTCTATTGCTTACAATTCTATGTGCTCTTTACTAACTATTACTCTACCTAGCTTCCTACTTGTCTCTAGTCCGAGTCTCGTCGCCTTCTATTAACCCACCCGTCAATGTACTTTAGTAAGGATGCAACTATATTTATTCTTCCAAGACATGCTGTAAAGCTGGAAGTACAGTGCGAGATTCGACAAATAAAATGCTCAACGGATGAAATATTTACGAAGACTGCGCACCTAGGTGGTCGTCAGCTACCATGATGCAAGATGGTCCTGCCTCTGACTGTGACTGACTAACTACCAGTTTCAATTCAATTTCCTCGTGCTGGACCCTAGAAGACCACATTAGTTAATTAATTTGTGAATGAATATGTTCGTTGTACCTGGGAGGAGACACGGGGACTGGATCAAGAACATTTTCTTCCTCTTCATCGTCCTCGAGCTCGTCATGGTAGACTGGCCGCGGTTCTGGTTTCTTCGCTTTTTCTGGAACCAGCTGAGGCAAAGAAGAGTACAAATGGTCGCATTCCGTCGTCCACACCGACAACATCGCCCTAGTGAATGATGCAGTCAGATTTCATGAACCCAACAGAATTGAAGCAAACAGACGCCCTGCCACCGGGCAAGGGAGTCGATGGAGTGCTTTCTCCATGAAGGCGATTGGGAGGTGAGGGCAATGTAGCAGGGAACTGTAGTGTGGGTGTTGAATGAACTGTGAAAGAAACAAGAGAAAGAAACTCACATCCAAGGGATCACGACACTGATCCTTCCGACTAGGGTGTACTGCGTTCGTGCGAGGAGAGAGGCGAAGGAACTTGTCAAGGCCAAGGAAAGTGGGTTTTTGCGGGTCTCTTGTAGGCAGAGGTCTCGGTGCCATGGGTATGGCGGATACTGGTGGTCTGCGGTGCCCGGCAGGAGGACGACGAGTTGCACCACACTGTAATGATAGCGATGAGTGAGTGGTATAATGAGTCAAAGAATGAGATGCGCACATGCAGTAGATGATCGAAGGCTGACTTTTTGCGTGTATTGAGCTGTGAAGGAATGTTAGCACATGAATAGTAGATGGCTGCAGGGGATGCATACACGGGCCTGAGCAAGGATGTCGGGTGGAGTATCACAGATGCAGATCTTGTTGTCGTCCTCGGTGGATATCGTGTAGGCTATTTGGGGTGAAACGGATGAGAAGATAAGGGGAAAGGTGATGTTTTGAACGTCAAAGGAGGCGAGGAGCTGTCGCGACTCGAAAGCCCAGAGCTTGATGGTGTGATTATTGGAAGCACTGACAAGGGAGCACTATCAAATAAAAATGCTAGATCACCAATGGTCTTGGTGTGCCCTTCAAAGGGGGCTCCGACAGTCCAATGTCACCGTGTCAAACCCATAGATTGTCGTGGCGTCGTCATCCCGCTCGAAATCTGCGGTGAAATCGAAATCGAATGCAGCTATGATGGTTTGTTTTTGTCAGTCTGTGATGATGTACAATGATGTCATGTCAGTCTTGACCAGATCAATATTCTGTGGGGGATAGCGTCAGTGAGGATGAAGATACGATGAAGTCCATCTTCTGATGGAATGTGGCACACGTAGCGAGTATTGCAGATAGCACATAACTAATACACGAGTGTTAAAACATCAACTGAGGAACATATATCATGAAGCAAATGTGGATGAATTCATACGAAGTTAACTGGGACTATGAGCACCACCACAGCTGCTATTTGCTGCACCATCCTGGCGAGGTATGTCAACGCGCTCCAAGTGCCATCGAGGAGGCATCCTCAGCCTGCCATGAGACCAACATGAATAATAGCAGAGGAACGCTTTGATCCAATGCACATCTGGGAGTGAATCAATGTCAGCTGTGTCGTTTTCCTGTGGCACAGCAGCCTGTTGGCTAGACGGGTGTCGAGTATCGTCTACTTTCTTGTATTCCGGTAGTTTGGCAGCAAGAAGCCGCTGTAGGGTAAATATCAATGAAAAGGCACTGAGAAGTAAGAAAATTACATTACAGTAACTTTCCGTCCTGGTGCAACTTCAACAACTGGTGGCCCAAGGCTGTGTCTTGGCGTGAGGAAAGAGAGATGCTGCCGCAGGAATTGTGTGACTCCGTTTGAGGGGGGAGGCGGAGAACTTATTTCGAACTGGATACGCACTCAGTACTCAGTCGTGATGCGAATTGACTTAAAAATGAAAACTGACATGATTGAAGCGAGTTGCGACCTGCCCAGAGAGAGAGGATGATAGCGGCAGTGTAGCAGGGACCTGTGATGCTATCATCGAGTCAATTGTAGGAGAACCATGATATACGACCTACATCAAGGGGATCACGAGGTTGGACAGGTGGTACTGCATTTGTGCGAGGAGAGAAGTGAAGGAGTTTGCGAATGCGAACAAAAACGAGTTGCTGTGGGTTAATTGTAGGCAAAGGTCTTTCTGACCTAGGTATAGCAGGTACTGGTCGTATGCGGCGCCCGGCAGGAGGACGACGAGTTGCGTCAGACTGCAATTACAGCAATGGATGAGTGGTGTAATGAATAAAGGAATGAGATGCCCACATTTAGTAGGTCGTTGAGGGTTGACTTTTTACGTGCACTGATCTGTGAGAGAAGGGCCTGTTAGAACACGAACAATGAACGTTTGCGGGAATGCGTACACCAGCCTGAGCAAGGACATCGGGTGGAGTGTTGCATATGTAGATCTTGCAATCATCTCTGTTGTATGTCGTGTACACTAGTTGGCGCGAGTTGGGTGAGAGGACAAGGTTATGGATGTTATAAGCATCGAATGAAGCGAGGAGCTGGCGAGACTCGAAATCCCAGAGCTTGATGGTGTCGTCAAAGGAAGTACTGGCAAGGAGAGCACAGTCAAATGAAAGTGCTAGACCACAGATGGCCCTGGTGTGCCCTTCAAAGGAAGCTCCTACAGTCTCCAATGTCGATGCGTCAAATTCATAGATCGTCCAGGCGGCGTCAAACGTAAATGTGAACGCGGTCAAGATGTTTTTGTTTTTGTTTGTCCAAAACACTGGCACAAGTGTGACTCCGGGTCCACCGAATGTCCCTATCCTCACATCCAACTTTTGTTTTTGAACATCCCAGACTTCAAGGCATGTTCCTGTGTCTAACCTCACTGCGAGCTTCTTTGAGTCTTGCGAGAACCGAACTGCGCCCATCCAAGTGCCGCTCTCGAACGGACCAGCCACGAGTTTCCCAGTGTCCAAATTCCATATCCGCGCTGTGGCATCCTTTGCCCCGCTCGCCAGCAGCGTGCTGTCCGAAGAGATATCAATGCTGATGATCTGAGCCAAGTGTCCTTCAAATGTTCTGACAATCCCAGTCCCGACCTCACAGACTTTCAGCATTGCACTATTCACATCTCCACCAGCAGTGACAACCCATCGACCATCCCTTGATACTGCCACTACCCACATATCTTCCTCGTAAACACTTCGCATTCTCTCAATTTCTTCACCCGCCTTCAGATCCCATCGTCGAGCGGTCTTATCCTCGGATACGCTGATCATTCGCTCGCCATCCGGAAAGTAGGTTATGGATCGAACGTTCTCTCCATGACCCTCCAAAGTGATTGATGGTGTCAGAATCGATTTCATGGAAGCCGCCTTCGTTGATGTAGAAGCCATAGCTACTACTCTCCGCAAGCAAAATTGTTTTGTCGCCAGGCACAGAAAAGGTATTCGTTTGAAGGACCGGTGGTGAGTTCTGCTCGTGTTGTATGCCCGACGCTGATTTGAAGACTCCCAACCTGCTCGAGAGCACTTTGCCTCCTAGAGCTGGTCGTCAATTCATCCGCGCTGGAACTTCAGATGAGAGTCGATGTTACGAAGAGGCTAGCAATGATTAAGGGAAGAATTCTACAACGTAAGCACAGCTGTTGTCCTTGCAAGATGTACTATTTATTCCTCGATT